TCTAAACAACCTCTAATGCCAGAGAAAGTCCCCTCAGAGGACAGAGCTGTGATCCATTTCATCTAAATGCCTACCTCCTCTTCTGCCTGCCTGCCTGCCTGCCTGCCTGCCGCCACCACCACCACCACCGGGACGTGGGAGGGGGCTCCTCTAGCCAGGCAACACAGCCTTCCTTCTGAGGACAGGCATGTTGGCTTCCACAAGAACTTCGGATGGAAAGACATTTGTGGCTGGGACCTTCTGACTGGAGCAGGTGGGATGATTGTTTGCATCAGTGTGCTAAGTACAGTCAGATCCCGCCAGAGTGCTGCAAAGCTGCCAGGAACAACTGAAAATGAAATAAAAAACACAGGAAGCCAAATTGGTACACTTTTGGAAACATCCAAAGTCTGAACGGAGAGAGGCAGCTAAGCGAGTAGGTTGCTTTGCTTATTCCTCCCTGAGGTTGCCAAAGGGGCATCCATGTATTTCACTCACGGGAGTGAAGCCATCTGGCTCTCCAGAAAGGATAACTTGACCTTGGTTCTCCCCATTCCTTCACTGGCAATATCATCCTGATGAAAGCCGCTGAACAGAGTTCTAGAGGGATGTTGCCAAATCTCTCTTGCAATATATCAGCCCTGGTACTTCCTTCCCTTAACAAGCAGGCTCCTGTCTCCCGGTCCTTCTCTCATATCCTTTGGGAACATGATTTATGATTGTAAGTAGAGTTACCTTGAGGTAAGATGGGAGGCCTATACATTGTATAAATGAACAGACACGCAATCAGAAGAAGATAAAATGTGTTAAATCTCCATGAATCTATTATTTCTTTATTTTCTCCTCTCCTGACAGGCCAGAAATAGAAAGAGGGAATATTTTGCTTTACGCCTGGCCAGTTTCACCATCAATGCCTGCCTTACTTACAGAAGACAAAAAGGGCCATGGAGCTCTAATGCCCTGCAGACAAATTGGGATACTGTTAGTCACAGATGTCTAATTTAATTGCAGAATAATGAATTACAATTTACCCTAAGGGGAAGTTGCCTTTCCTTGCCAAGGAGGTGTTTAAGGGCCCATTCATGTCCACTACCTCCTAGACCTTGGATTAAGCAGTGACCACTAAGAATGCATGAGGCCCTTGGTTGACTATGTTTATTTTTTACACTGCTTTTAATCACTTGCAATGTTTTAAAGACCATCAAATGATAAACTACTACAAATTAAAAATTCAACCTTACGCAGTTATTATTAAGATATTCCCAAGCCAGCATCAGCCAAGAATAATGGAGACACTTCTATGTCTGCAACAATTCTTCTCATGGGAAAATTCAACCACTCTTCTAACACACCTTACAGGAACACAATTTGGATACCCAAGGAAGTGGGTTGCTTACACCTGTTGAGTAATAATGATATGAATTATGTTTTTGATATTCCAATTTGAAAGATACAAACCTGCTCTGTGAGAATTTTCTGACCCATGGCCACTTCCAGCCATGAGTGTTTACCATTTTCTAAGGAAATCAGCTCCATGCTTGAATCATTGTTACAATCATAGATTCCCCCCCCCCCCCGATGTCCAACCAAAATCTGACACAAAAGCTGCTGAAACCAGCTGTAGGTACCTGCTGGCATGATGGTTCCACCGATCAGAAGAAACTCACCTGGAATCCCCAGTTCCTCTGCAGAACCTTCCCCATCTTCTTCGACATTTGGTGTGGTTATGCAGTTCTCACACTTGATCATGCCTATGGTGCCTGAGAAGAATAGCAAGATATTATAACCTTTCAATCGCAAGCCCACCCTTCCAAATCTTGAGATTAAAACCAATTCAACAAAAGTCAACATTAAAAGAGAAATGCCCTTCCATGTGTTGCTTCCACTCAGTGGAGCTTAGTTCCCCAATTTTTTGCCTACAATCGAGTAGCAAATGCAGCAGCACTTCTAAAGTGAGTGGAATTCTTCTTCCCTACTACCATAAAATTGGTGTTTTCCAGCAGGATTTGGAAGAGTGGCTGTGAAAACAGCTCACATTGGGCTAGCTGCACATGGCTGGGTCCTATAAGGTTACAGCTGGACTAGATCAGTGGTGGGTTCCGGGCAGTATGGCCCAGTACGGGCGTACCGGTGGCAGCTGGGAGCAGCGGCTACTGTACCAAAACAGTGTTTTGGTGGGCCCGCCCACCCGCGTTCCTTACCTCTTTTTGAGGGAAACAGGCCAATTGCACACACGCGCACCGTGTATGGCGCCTGTGCGACCTCACTGAGCAGCTGGGCCATTGCAGAGTGGTGGTGTGCGCACACAGTGCGCATGCCCGAGGTGGATGTCCGGCCCCTCCACAGCCTACCGGTTGCGACGAGATCCAGAACCCACCATTGGACTAGATGATCCTTGTGGTCCTTTCCAGCCCCCAGTTCTTGGACTCCCCATGCCAGGGGAGCAGGGAAGAAAAGAGGCAGGCTCGCAGAGGTCACTCCCTTAACTATGCACATACCGTAGTGGAATCCATTACAGAGATTTTTTTGGGAGGGTTATGAGGGATGTTCACACAAATTTCGGCAGGAATGGCCTGTTATTACTAACTTGCCAGCACTGCTGCTGCGCTTACGTGGATGCTTAACCATCTCTTCCATTTTTAAAGGATTCCATGCATGGGCATCCCAAATATATGCTTCCATATGAGGCTTGACCTATTGGAATCTATCCTCCTAAGGTTTGGGACAAACCTGGTATGGCGCCTGGACAATTGGATTTTGTGTAAAATGCCTGGCAAATCTGATTTCTGTTGCATTAAGGAGTTCTCTGCTAAACAACATGAAGCAAGGAGTGAAATAAGCTGCAATTCTACAGGCTCTTCCAATGCGTTTCCTTCAATACTTGACCACTAATGTTAGAGCTACACTTGTAAATGGGCATTGACAAAGTGAGAGGAATCAACTGCAACCACGGGTGGGTGTCAGATGAGAGAACATTAAACTGAGTGTTATGTCTTCACAGGAAAGAGCTGTAACCTGAAGCTCTAATGGACACCAGCTGAAGTGCAGCCCATGGTCATGAGAACAGCCCTCTGGCTAAAGGCCTTGGTCACAGCTGTCTAAGAAGAACCAAGGACAAAACTCTGGTCAAGTCTAGTGGACTCTGGTGGAGTCCTTTCACTCCCTTGCATGAAGGAGTGGGATTCTATCAGGACTCTACAAAGACACAGCCAGTGCCGTCACCAGGTCTCTTTCTTCAAGCACCACTGCTGGAAGATGAGACCCAAATCTACAACTGGCAGCAGTCCTTGGCATAACTCGGTGGGGGAGGGGGTGGCACCATTCAACCAATGCAGGAGACAGGCAAATGCAGGGCTCGTAAAAGTGGCTTTCACCACTTTCCTGCCTCCATAACTAATAGGGATAGGCCTACTAAGAGGCCTCGGGTTGCTCTGCACGTCCTCCCAAAATGACTGTTGTGAACTTACCGAAAGCTGCATCCAGCGAAGGGGGGTTCTTGGCCCGCTCTGACCCCCATCTGGTAGAATTTGTCTGCCCACAACCTCCAGCCAAGGCCGCCTGCTGCATGCTCTGTTCCACTTCGGCCAGCAATGTTGCCTGAGTGGCTTCCATCACCTGCCAGAGACAGAGCGGGGGAATTAAATTTCTGTTGACTAGATTCTGCAGGCCTCTTGGCCCCACTCCTTCCCCAGAAGGGACAAGTATACTTGGGCAATTCAGGGAAGGAGCAAAGAGAGCTGAATTGGGGTCTCCTAGCAACAGTTGCAGGCTGAGTGGAAGGAAAGTGCTGGAGGAGAAATATTCCAAAATATCCCATGCATATCAGGGAAAGGGGCTGGGCACATATTTTCTTCTATATGCAGGGAATGTTTATCCTGAATTGTTCAAAAGTTTTTCCTACAACAAATAGCTTTGACGTGTACAACGAAACAGTCTTGATACCTATGGCAGCCACCAAGGCCTCCCGCTCAGAGATGGGAGTCAGCCACATGGTACTTCTACAGATGAAGAGACCAGCAGGCTGTGGTCTCTTCTGTTCAGCTCCCCTTCTAACTGCTGCCCTCCCTTTGGAAGGCTGAAGGCTCAGCCAGAGCAGTCCCCTGGGCACTCTACACATGGAGGCATGACCAGGGACTCCTTGATTAAGCATCAAGCAATTTAGCCGAGTGCCAAGTTGCCACTTTCATACAAAATTCTGTAGATTGTGCCAAAGGAAATGGCCCAGAGCATGGGAAAGAAATGCTCCCCATTCAGGATCAACTTCCACTTTGTTGACCCACAGTCTCTGCAAGACTGTTCCCCCAGCTGAACCCTGGGAGGATTTTAAGTCCTTGGAATGGTGTCCATTTCTTACCTCTACAGATTGGTCTCTCCAGCAAGAAATTAACTTGACAAATGAACGATTATCTGCCTCACAAACAGGAAACCTGAACATGCCTAAAGCAGAGGAAACATTGTCAGCTAGGATTTTGTTCCTACAGAATATAATTTTCTCTAGAAAGGATCCATTTCCTTGACAGTTGCTCAAGAGTGACATGTGAAATGAAAACGGAAGGGCCTTTCACAAGAATGTTGACCATAAGCTACCAGGTTGGCCCAGTGCGGGTGGCAGGTAGCTGCTTGTCCATTTCTCAGCTGAGGGCTGAGGACTGGCTCAAAATCACTCCAAAGCAGAACCAGAGTCTGGGTCTCCCTCATCCCAACCCTCCCGCACCCACAGGGGCACAGGTGCCTTTCCCCTGCTACTTTCTCTTATAGCTTCTTTCACTTAGTCAATCTATGCTAGGTCCTTCTTTTACTATTTTTGGCCTATGAGCAAATAAAGTAAATTGTTTACTTTAAATGAAATCTTGGTAAATTTTAAAAACAATTTTGTAAGCAATTGCAGTACGGGAAGTTTAATTTTGCTCTGAGGCAAAAGCCTGTAAAAATTAAACATCTAATTAATCTCACCAAAAGATTTTTAAGTGTTCTTTTACAATTTTTTCAGCACTAAGACTTCTATTTCTCTTGGTTTTTTTCTACCTGCCTATATTTGTGGTCATTTCTTATCTTTATTGTGAACGATATTGGGGAATTTATATTTTATTTAATAATGTTCAGTTCTATTGTACCATGTGCTGAAATTATTAAATGAAGGAGAGAGTGAGAGATCTCGGTCCTGCTCAGGTCCTCTGGGCGGCCTGGAGCCTTTTAGGGCCTGGAAGGGTTGAGGCAGCCTATGGCTTCTCTTCACAACTGAATCTTCCCTTGGGAAAGAAGGTTTCCTCTCCTCACAACGTACCCCTAAGAAACAGCATGGATTGTGTCACCAGGACTCACCTGGAGAAGACTCCCGGTTAAGATCGTCCAAGACCACAGAGGCTGTGGGTCTCCATTTGTTGCGCTTCATGAGGCTGAAAGCAAAGAGATCGTTTGTATCTCAGGGAACGCCGTTCCCCCCCCCCCCGACACAGACAGCAAAGGGCCAACAGTCAGTCTCTCTTATCTGCCTGTCTATATCTATATCTAGTATATATACAGAGAGAGATCTTCCTTTGTGAAAGAGGAGAGTGGGACACACAATGCAAGGAAGCCTCAGAGGCCACTTTCTCCCAGGAACCAGGCAAGCTCAGGACTTTCAAAGGAATAGGCTGGTGACCAGAATCTGACTGGGGAGAGGGGAACCCCAAATGCATCATTTTAGATTATATGTGAATGACATGGGGTAGGTAAGAACTGGTCATCTGCCCATTTCTTCTAACTATTGTACAGCAATCAATTTTTATTTCAGAAAAAGCTAGATTCAGTCTTACCTGGTCTTTTCAGAAGGCCTGTTAATTATCCTTTGAACTAAAGACATCCTGCTCAACAAATACGCCAAAACCAGCCTTTGCTCTGTAGAAGTAACAGTATTTCTCCATCCATTCTTCTTGCCTGCTTGCTCTTGGGTTGCACTATAGTATTTACTGTGTAAATGCAGCACTTTGCTAGAAAACAGATTGACTACCTCCTGCTGCTTTTCCATCCTCTCGGGATTAGCACTGTTCCATCCTGGTAACATCAAAGTAAGATAATTGTTTTTTGAAAGCAGTCCAAAGGAGACAGGAGAGAAAAGTCTCAAGATACCTAAATACTGAACACAAAGACCGTCCAACTCTCTGTTCACACCCCAGGGGAAGAAACAGGACAAAAGGAGTTTGGCTGCCTCTGTGGCAACAGTTGGGCTGGTTTTTCTAGAGGTCTGCCTTTTCGTCTTCTTGGAACTCTTGGCTTTCTTGCGTCTTTTGATACCATCACTTGGTTCCACCTGGGTTCCACCTGTATGCACCTCCCCAGAGCCTTGTTCTTCACTGGCCACTCTGCCCTGCCCATCCAGCGGAGAGAGGGAGCCGGAAGTTCTGTTTCTCTTTAACATTGATGTCCTTTTATCTGTTGCGCTTCTGGCTCTCTTTAAAGTGTCGATGGTGCTGAAGGAATTGGAGGACTTCAGTCCATTGGCCTGAGAGGAGCAGAGCAATTCCACCAGCTTCTCCAAATCAAAAAGGAGCATGTTGACACTCATGGTCTCCCATGTTGCCCTCAATGGCCAAACAGCAAAAGGCCCCTGAGCCCAGCAGAGAGCAGTTAACTGAAAGGTAAATGTTTTAATCATTTAGTTGACGTTACCATAGTCAGTGCAATAACTATAATTAAGTAGTATAACAAAGTATTTATATTCAATTCAGGTGGATGCCACACAACTATGAATGTAATCAATAAGTATGCAAATGTTTCACTTTTGAAAAGAAGTATAAAACAAGCCATTATTGAAAATACTGTAGCAAAACACCAAACAGAAAGGCATGAGGAATAAATGACGTTTCAGTAAGTAAAGAAATGTGGGAAAGCAACAACCAAATGACACAGACATGTTTCCAATGTGTACTGAAACAGCCATAAAGGAAAAGCTTGGGGAGTTTTAACTGGTCAGAGGGATTTCTAGGCTCAGTTCATCCACAGCCAAGTGGCTGTGGGTCACTGGCCACAAATACAGTCTGTCCAGGGATCTCCCCTCTCTCTCCCCGGGGACCTGGCTCTCTCCCCCCAGCAGGTCCTTCCCATTTGGCAGCAGGTATGCTGAAGCTTCCTCTTCTGAAATGAAGAGCCCTCCCTTGACCCCTTTTCTCCCCTAGCAGCCCCCTCTAATAAGAGCCCTATTTTCCGCTTTGGACTCTAGCAATTCTGCAATGTGTGGGGTCAGCCTCCATGAGGCAGAAATCAGCATTCCAAAGTTGGCCATCCTTAACCTGTAAACAGATCAAACAAGCAAAGAGACAAAGAGAAAGGACAAGCTTGTTTCCAAGGCAAATTTTAATCTGCAGACTCCCAGCCATTCTAAAAGCAGGTAGGCAGGCACCAGAACAAACAACTGGAAAACCTGAAGGTCTCCTGTGCTCTTTTCCTCAAGCCTGCAGATGCTGCTGACTTGCGTGTTTTCCTGAAAAAGCCCTCTCCTCCCACATTTCTCCCTGTATCACAAAGAAGGGGAGGGGAAGAGGAGAGACCCCTTGAAACATAACACATATGTGCAGCAGCAATAGCCAGGGAGCCTTTTCAAGGCCATCTTCTTGTTTGCTAAACACATTTTTCTTACTAAGAGCTGCTGCTGCTTTTTCTTGGCGAGTACTTCATTTTCATTTGAAAACATTCCTCTAAACTTATGGATGGCTAATAGAACAAAAAAAAGGGTATGACTAATTGCAGAATGCACACTTGACATCTGAAAATGCCCAGACCTTGCACAGGCAGATAGAGAAGCTGTAAAAGTTTGTATGGATGAGGGGGCTAATAAGTATACTGTATGCCCATTTTTCAACACTTGGGCAATTAAAAAGATGCCTTTTTCTCAAGGTTGAATGGATGAAGCCACCAAATATGGTGATGTAGAACAAAGACCACACCTGGCTAAAAGCTATCAATGGGAGCTCGGTCCTTGGAAGGGGCATTCCAAAGAGGGGGGGGGGCAGGAGGAGCCATCAGAGAGGATGGGGAGGAAATGGAGGCAGGTTTCTAAAGGGAGCGCAAAAGAGCCAGGCTTTTATTCACACACCCAGCAACTGCTCCCTTCTGCGTATTCACCTGATGACAAAAAGACCTTCTTTGATGAGCGAGCCTGTTGCAGGAAAAACTGCCAAAGGCCGAGGAGCTGGACAATGAGCCTCCCAGACCTTTCTCTCCCTGGCCGTCTTCTTCCCAGGCTGCATAAAGAGGGTCGGCCATAAGACCAGAATCTTCACAGGAAACGAGGATCGCTTTGGCCGTCTCCCCGCTTTCATGGCGCTCTAGACTTCCTAGGCAAAGGGGGGAAGGAAGGTGGATGTTCACAGCAGCAGGTCTCCACTTCACCTTCCCTGCATTCTCCAGGAACAGGCCACAATTTTTCAAAGCTCATTATTAAAAAGAAGCCAGTATAGACCGCGATGATCCTCTGATAGTTCAAACCTGGACAGGTACAGTTCCTCTAAGGCAGTGGTTCTCAACCTGAGGGTCGGGACCCCTTTGGGGGTCGAACGACCCTTTCACAGGGGTCGCCTAAGACCATCGGAAAACACATATTTTCGAAAAAATACGGAAAACATAAAATAATTTTATGGTTGGGGGTCACCACAACATGAGGAACTGTATTAAAGGGTCGCTGCATTAGGAAGGTTGAGATCCAATGGTCTAGACTCTTAAAAACATCCAGTGATGGAGCACACGCAATTTCTGCAGGGAAACAGTTCCACTGGTTAATTGTCCTCACAGTTAATACGTTTCTCCTTAATTCCAGGTTGCTTCTCTCTTTGATTAGTTTCCAACCATTGTTTCTTGTCCGGCCTTCTGGTGCTTTAGAGAATAATTTCACACACACACACTCTTCTTTGTGGCAGCCCCTCAAATACTGGAATACTGCTATCA